GCTCTTGATTAGATAAGTTTAATTTGAACTACGAACAACTACAATACACTGAAAGTATTTGAAAGCTGCTCGACAAAGCTACCCGCGATGACCGCGAAAACACGATTCGCTTTGACAGTGGTTTGCGATTGGACGAAACGCTTTTTTCACGTGTGACAAATCGCTTCGCTTTTCTGATTGGCTAAAAAAGTCATGAACTTGTTTTTCACACAGGGAAATTTGATAAGAAAATCTCAGTATGTATGAAATAAATATATATGTTTATTGCAAATTTGGTTTCTCATAATAAGCGTTGTTTTAATTTAGAAATGATGACAAATAAACTCAAATTCCTATAATGATATTCATTAACATATTGGAAGAATAAATCTAAATATCTCCAAGATACATTACTCAAATCATATTAAAAAAATAATTATCAAGTTATGGGTTCAAAGCTAAGGCACTTTAAATAATTTTACTTACATGTTGAAATATTAGTTTTGTGGCTTATTCCTGAAGCAGTCGAAGTTTTCATCTTGGAAGACTTACGGAAATTTAGCTTGATTTTCGTAATTTTTTTCTTATAAACCTAAATCATATTAAAAAAAGTTAACTTAGTAAGTCAGAACATTATTAACAGTACAATAAAACTTAGATAAACCAATAAAAATTAGATAAAAAAAAAATTTAAATATTTGGGGTTCCTCAAGGTTCAGTTCTGGGACCCCTTTATTTCTCTCTCTGATGAAACGAATGTTGTATTGACAACATGGAAATACTGTAAACGTATAGCACATTATATACATTTTATAGTTTATTTCAAATTTGTTTTTGTTTTTTGTTTTACAGGGGTTTTCTTCGGTTGATAGAAGGTATAAATTCATGATACCACAGATTATAGAGAACATTAAAATTAGAGAACTAGTTTTTACTCTTTTTATCAGTTTGTTTTACGAAATGTAAAGAAGGTCTTTAAAAAAAGGAAAGAAACAAAAACTGTAAAAGACAAATGAAAAATTTGATACTACATTAAATCTCTTATAAGCATTGCAGATATTTTTTGTGAAATTATTTCTGAATAATGCTTTAGACTATTGTATCTATAAATAATATCTATTAATGTACAACATTTCTCTCTCTCTCTCTAACAAATTTCTGCTTTTATATATTTTTTGGACACTTCTTGGACACATGGACATTTCTTAATAGTATGGTGGATGCAAGGCCAACATAAAAACTTGCGCCTTAATATGGAGCCCGTAAAGTCCTCCACTGATCACAGATGTAAAGCACATTGAGACGTCTTATAAATGTGCTCAAGATGTGCTATATAAAAACCTCCCATTATTATTATCATTATTAAAATACAAAAGAAATCACATTTTTTCTCGGTGAATTCATGGCATTTCTTTTGTATTTACATGTTAGCCTTACATACAAGACAATTTTAAGAAGGGTGCATTATTTGTCTAACATGATTGCAATCTTCGGGCATGTATATTTCAATACTGATGCATATTTTTTCTTCATTCAATTTTTGTATAAATACTGTACAAAGATCTAAAGAATGCAGAAAATATATCTCTTTTAAGGAATTTCTATAATTTTCTATGTTAATGTAATTATTTTAAATTTATTTGTATTTAATTTATTTTCTTAACAAAAAATATTCTGGACGACATGTACATGTTTCAGTTAACTTATAATCTATTAATTGATCATTCTGATAATGAGGAAGATATCAATAAAATTGTTAGCAACTAACTAAAATATTCAAATTAATGTTGGACAAATACTATTGGGACCAATTAGATTATTTGGTCATGAGGATAAAGATTTGTACACTGAAAAGTAATTCATCTAGCTTCTTTGATAAAATTATGTAATTACACAAACTTAATTCAAAAGCTTACATTGATTACTAGTACAGTACATAAATAATAACAATGAAGGGATTATGAAGTTTAATAACTTTTGATATATAACTTTTGATTTGTATAAAAGATAGTTCTGTAGCCAGTTAACTTTATTCATTCAAACAGTACAGCTAGATTATTACTGTATGATTATTGGTTATACCTTTCTTAAAAACTTTACCACTGTTTTAATTGCGATGCTCTTACCGAAACCATGCACAGTCGTGATATGAAAATTGGACAAAGGTATACACTAAAATCAACAAGTTACTAATAGACATCACTATAAAATGGCCTTGTTTTCACTGGTGAACAACTAACATTTGGAAGATTGGAGGATATTGGAGGTTATATGTGTATTCTTAACTTCTGGTTTCAGGCCGTGGAAATAATAGTCAGAAAGAATACTCTAAGGACTTATTTTGATATGTTTGAACTTAACAATTTGCTAGTTGCATTTAATTGTCCCAATTCAAGTCTACAACTTTGTGTGATTGATTACTCCTTTTAATAATTAAAATTATTGTTTATTATTGTCAAATACCGAAATATACTTGTTATTTGATAGTAACTAAGAGTAATTGTTTCATGGGTTTTTGAAAACCACTCTATTATAGTACTTATGTTATACATATCAACACAATGCCACCTTCATTCCAGTAACAAGTAATAAAATTTTATTCAACATAAAGAAATGTTTTAAAAAGCTTATTTTTGAACTAGATGTACAAAGAATGTTGCTCACAACATTACATACCTAGTAAAGCTAGCTTTTGGTCAAAATTTGAAAAAGTTAGATGATTTATCTATGATTATATTGTAATTAATATATCAACAGGCTACATATCTTACATTTCTTGTACACTTGAAATACTTATTTATCAAAGTAACACTTTCCAAAATAAATTTTGACTAAGGTCAAATGTCGAACTTAATATGAGCCAAACCTAATCACATCAAAAAAGACTGCCTTGTTATTTCTCGTTTCATCCCTGGTGCAAATCCTGAGCAGGATCCTGTAAGATCCTATAAGATCCTATTTAGGAATAGGATCCTGAATAAGATCCTGAGTAGGAACAGGATCCTGAATAAGATCCTGAGTAGGAATAGGATCCTGAGTAAGATCCTGAGTAGGAT